TCCCCTCCCCCTCCCTCAAACCCACAACCATTTCCAAGCAGAAAGGTTTCCCTGGCTGCTTTCCTTCCCCCCATCCCATTTTTAATACCATGCAATTAGCGCGAAAGCATCCAGTAGGGTTTCAGCCCTCTTGCAGCTGGTGGAGGAGGTAGATGGCAAGCTACTTCCTTCCAGCATCTGCCGTGCCAAGCAGAGAGAGAGAGAGAGAGAGAGAGAGAGAGAATGAATGAATGAATGAATGAATGAATGAATGAATGAATGGGAGCAGCATAGAGATTCTGCCTTATATAGCAGCACCCCACATGGGTTCCTGGAGCCCAGGGCTGCCAGCCGCAGAGGCGGCCACCCACAGAGGACCTGGGGAAGAGGGTGAGTTTCTGAGACACACCTGATCTTTCAACGTCTATTCTGGGATGAAAACAGGTCAGGAGGTGCATGCAAAAGGCCACTGATACATGGTGGGCCATTTTTTTTAAACACCCCAATGGGTTTTCTTCCCCAGGGCAGGGAAAGGCTGGAGGGTGCCCCTCCCTGGCATTGGACGGATGGGCCAGAAGTTCTCCAGAGCGCCTCCCGACCTAGAAATGCCAGGGACGGAATCTGCAGCCTTCCACTTTCAGAGCACAAGCGTCTCCTCTGAGCCACCCTCTGGATGGAATCAAGGCAGACGATTAGATGCTGAATGAGAAACGTCATTCCTCTTGGGTCAGCAGTTTCTGCTCTAGCTGCAAGGGCCCCTCCCGGGGGTCAGAGGAGGGGACGAGACAAAGCCCTAACAAGGGATGCTGGGAATTAAGCCCGGGGCCTTTGGCCAGAGAAAGCGGTCCCCTCTCGCTTCGCCGTGCCCCTTCTTTGCAACAGAAATGCCAGCTACTGAAACCAGGATACTTTGGGTGGAAAACATCCACTCGAACACCAAACTCCAGACATTCTCCTAACTGGCAACTTCAACCAGCAAAGAGAGTCGGCTGAAGGTTTTCAAAAAGTCACCCAAGAGGCCGGGGAAGCCCTAAGGTTTCGCCTCCTTAAAATGCTTCTCCTGTGATGGTGCGCCATTCAGAAGCAGGAGCACGGTCCAGGCTGAAGAACGAACGGGGGCTTGGGGTGGTCGAAGAGCTGCTTCATAGTTCAGGGTCTGACCTCTGTAGAAGCGCATTACTAATCTCCCTGGGGGAATGGAAATGTCTGCACCCGTCTTCAGCTGGGCCCCAAAGCCATTCATTCCATACATCACAGGTCCCCAACCTTGGCTCCCCCAGATGGTCTTGGACGTGTGCTGGCCAGGATTTCTGGGAATGGTCGCCCGAGAATATCTGGGGACCCCAAGTTGGGAAGCACAGCCACCCATGCTTTGTGCCTCACTTCACATGGATTGCAGGGCAGGAGAGATTTCCACCCTGTCTGCCAGAATAGCAAAACGCCAGAGGTTCTGTCTCAGTGATGGCTCCAGCGACAGAAAGAAGAGACAACTTCGGTTTTTCCAACCTGAATCTTCAAGCTCTCAACACCCACCGTGGACACTCTTACGAGGAGCTGTGGATCAAAAACTAGCATTTCCTATTTCTGGGGCATGTTGACCCAACCCATAATGACGGTCTCCCCTCAAAACTTTAAATAGGAAACAGCCAGGACAGGAAATGATCCAGGATAAGCAAAGCCAAGCTTCCTCAGAAGGAAATCTTGTCTCTCTGTGCGTGACATGGTGGCGTTTGCTTAAGTCGCCTGCACGCAGGAACTCAATGCTCCTCCATGGCTCTTTCAGACACATAACAAGCCTCTTGGGAGTGCAGCGTCTTCCTGGCGCATTGCGTGACTTCCTGAGGGCACAGCACACCACATAGCCTGCCTCCGGTGCCATCCTGGCCCTTTCAAAAGGTCTGCTCTGTAGTTAAAAAACATCCGCTCAGAACGGGCTGAGGAACCGAGGCCCAAACGCCGACTTCAAAGCCCACCACATCTGTCACATCGGAGGGGCTTTGGCCAAGCTTCTCTCCAGAAGAAGTGCCTGACAAGGACGTGACCAGCAGCGGTGAGGCAACTGCTCTTTGGGTGAGCACAGAAAAGTGAGAAGGGTGTGCTTGAACCTTCAGTGGGCTCATGTTTTAAGACCGCACCTGTCCCGTTGTGTGATCTGTGGGACAAAATGCACCAACTCTGCTTACTGAGACACACAGTGGTCATGACCCAAGTTTAAGATGCAGCATATCTGGGCCATATACCTCTACTGTACCTCAGCCAGGTCTGCTCTGTAGTTAAAAAACATCCGCCCAGAACGGGCTGAGGAACCAAGGCCCAAACGCTGACTTCAGTATCTGGGCCATATACCTCTACCTCAGTGCCAAGCTTCTCTCCAGAAGAAGTGCCTGACAAGGACGTGACCAGCAGCGGTGAGGCAACTGCTCTTTGGGTGAGCACAGAAAAGTGAGAAGGGTGTGCTTGAACCTTCAGTGGGCTCATGTTTGAAGACCGCACCTGTCCCGTTGTGCGATCTGTGGGACAAAATGCACCAACTCTGCTTACTGAGACACACAGTGGTCATGACCCAAGTTTAAGATGCAGCATATCTGGGCCATATACCTCTACTGTACCTCAGCCGTACCCCCACATCCCCTTGAAGGCGGCTATGTAATGGAAGCTGCTGTCATTCTGACTTACATACCACCCCACAGTGCTTAAACCTTTCTCTGGGCAGTTTCTTTGCAGCTACTGGCATTTGTGGGAAATTCACCTCCTGACCAGAGGAACTTATTTTGAGACACTGCCCCCCTGATTGCTAAGGCCTGGGCCAAAGTAAGGCTCAGAAGTTCTGACGGCGGTGCTCCACCCCCTTTTCTGCTAGAGCCGTGGTTCTCAACCTTGGGTGCCCAGAGGTTCTTGGACTAAAACTCCCAGAAGCCTCCACGACTCACTGTGCTGGCCAGGATTTCTGGGAGTTGCTGTCCATGAACAGCTGGGGACCCAAAGTTGGAGCATGCACGGCCAGAGGGCTCAAAGGATCGGACACCTGCGTGCGTTCCACCACCGCCTGGCTCCAAATGACATGATCCTCTTCTCACAATCTGTGATTCCCTGATGCCAGCTGGGAAGGCGTGATGATGGGTGTGTCAAGGCTTCGGAGCCACCTCTCGCACACACATCAAACTGTTCCTCCTTCACAGCCATTGAGTCTGGCTCTTCCCCTCTAGAGAATTGGAGAAGCAGAGCCCTTCCGTGGGATACCAACCGATCTCTTTGATGCCTGACAACTCTACCAATGAAGGCCCACTTTGGTTAATTAAACGCCCATAACGAGTGGGGGGGGCAGCCACGTCTCTGACTTCACGAGGGAGCACCAAGGCCTTGTGGGGAGACCTGTGGAGGGCAGAGCCATAGAAACATCATGTTGGAAGAGGCCTACAAGGCCACCTTCCAATGGTGCTCAAGGCATCATGCCTTGAGTCCATCCTGCAAGTGCCTCCTTCCGTCGGCACGAGGACGTCCGTCACAGCAATTTTGCAACCACTGCATAACGAGCCAGTCATCACACAAGGGGAACCACAGCTATCCTTCCTTCCTTGTGTGGATTTCTGCCAATCAGGGTCCCTTTTTTTGGGTTCGAAAGCAACCAAAGAGCTCCTTGCATTACAGGGATTGCTAACCCTCAATCAGAAACGCAGCCCTAAGCATGAAAATTAGGATCTCTTGAAAACGGTGAAGAGGTAACGAGGGCCATTCATCCTAATCACCCCCTGAAGTATTAGGCTGTCAAGAGGGGAGATTTGGAAAACCTGGAATCAGGAAGTAAAAATTAATTCATTTTGTGATTACGGGCAGGGAGGGAGGGAGGGAGGGAATGAAGCTTGTACAGACCTCTCGGACTCAGTCCATGGGAAGCTCCGTGAGAAGCCCCTCCTGGGCTTTCACCTGCCTTTCAACCAATATCATCCATCACAATACCCCCACCCCCCACCCCCAGTCTAGGAAAACCTACTAAGGCTGCATGGGCAGTATAGATTTCATACTGATTTAAAGCATAAAATGTAGACAACTGGACAAACGGCCTTTCCCAGAAGAGCCACCTAGCAAAAAGGGAGAGCCGGAGCGATGTAGGGGACAGAGATCAGGACTCTGGAGACCCGGGTTCAAATCCCTGCTTGGACATCTCAACTGAGGGTAGCGATAGTGAACCACCTCTTGAGTACTTCACACGCTTCAAAAACACAATTAGGGGCTGTCGTTAGCCCAAAGTAATTTGAGAGCAAACAACAACATGAAAAAGGAGGAAGGTAATAACGTCAGTTCTTCCTCACTCCTATTGCACACCAGGAGAGCCCGAGAGTTCCCCGAGAGACACGCCCCACATGTTCAGTCCGAGAGCGACAACCTTCCTTGGCTCACGGCTGGGGTTTGGCCGGTGCCATCGGAGTCCTTCTCACCCATATGGTCCAGAGGCGCTCAAGGAGGACACATCCAGAAAAGGACTCTGAAGCTGAACGCTCCCGACAGACCACAATAAAACCACCACATTTTCTACTAACGGTATTCCTTCCTTTTTTCAAAATCCCACATTTTGCCCACCCCTCCCTTCCAAGCCACAGGGCAGCCACAGCCCAATCAGTAAACACATGCATGAAGCATGCAATTAAAACTGTACAGCTAAAGACAGCTAAAATACAAGCAGACACAAACACATACAAAATCCATTCTCTTCCTCCTCCTCCCCTGCCAGCTTTCATCTTTAGCAAGATAAAATACCCTCCTCTCCTTGCATAAGCTATTCAAGACTTGAGGTGTCCCCTGGGAAGGGAGAGCCATGAAAAACTCTATAAACACCACAAACCGTCCACACAGCCAGGGAGGGGTGAGGCATGCTGCAGACACACAAACACACACAGACAATGGAAATCTATAAACACCGAGGGCCGTTGGTTTGTTTTTAATGTGCACGAAGGTGTCCGAGCATCTTGCATCCTGGAAGGAAATTCTTTCAGCTGAGAAGGCAAAGCCCCTCCTGGGAACCTCCATCTGATGCGCCCGTCGTTAACTCTACAGCTGCCACATCCGCCACAGGGAGACCAGGAATGACCCATTGCTCAGATCTCCACCTACGGCAACCGCCTTCGGGCAGAACCGACTGTCTGTGCAGAACGGAGGGAGCGGAAGAAGGGGAAAACCAGAGAGGAGGGAACCTCTGGGGAAAATTCTTCCACGCAAAACCAGCCGCTTGCTGTGAGATGGCTTTTTTCTGCCCCTGCCATTCACACCTGCTCAGCGCCCTGCAAAGATCCAACATGCCACACCATCTGCCGATGCATGCACCGTTGGGGAAACGCTATGTGCGCCCACCCGCGCTTACCCCCAGTTTCCTGCTCTTCATTTTCACGTAGCCTTGCTTGACGATGTCATTGAAATTCGTAGCCATGGCTCGAGGCGCGCCGCCGGGCTGCGATCCACCTCCACAGAGTCGGCCGGCTCCTCCCGACGCCTCTCTCTATGTGTGCCACCTCCTCCTCCTCCTCCCCACGGCAGGGAGGATTCCTCGTCGGCCGGTTCACCTGTCTTCAGGCTTGGCCTCCCACGCCAGCCCTCTTCCCTCCTGCCTTCCTCAGCATTGTCCTCGCAGGGAGCTGGCCAGCTGGGGTGGCTTCCTCTTGTTTGCTGAAAAACAGAAATGACAGATAGATTAGAGATGGTGACATCTTTCTCTCTTGCTCGTTTCCCCCCCTCCTCCACTCTCCGCCCCTGCTTCCCCCTCTCTCGACGAAACCATTCCGGAGAACACAGCAGTGGATGGGGGAAAGAGAAATGGAACAATCCAGATTTTTAACCCGCCAGGCAATTGAGGTCTCCCACCTTTAAGGTGGTGCTTCTGCCAAGCTCCACATGCAAAGCGGATCCCTTTGAAATCGAAGGCTTCTTTCAAACAACAGAGAGTGCTTCGGGTTGCAATCCTGCATGACCAGTCCTGCTCAGGCGGCTTACCATCTTCTTCTATTTAAAGGGAAAGATAACACGGGAGGGGGGGGACTTCCCACCGAGGGTGATCTGCCACCAGCCCACGGTCACTTTAGAGGAAGGAGAATCTTCAAGGCATTTTAATGGGTCTCCTCCTCCTCCCCGGGGCCACCGGTCTCTCATCATCAGGTTGTCAAGCGAGGGCGAAACAGACACAGTCACAACTCTCAGCAGGGCTGAGCTGCCGTCTGGGCTTCTGCCCAAATGCCTCGCTTTCCAACTAACACCCTTTCTTCGATGACTTTTTGGGGAAAAAAAGGATTTGCAAGATGTGTGGGGGCAGCTCTCTTAGTACATCAAGGTTATTGCATGCATTATTGCACTCTGGTTTTTAAACGACTCGGGGACCTCAAAGCCCAGCACATGCCACAGACTGCAAACTACACAATATCAGCTTGTGGGGTGGGGGGGTGGGAGGGTTTGGAGGACCCCTGCGCTCTCCCTGTTGAATCTCCGGGCTGGTCTCCTAGGCATCCTACACAAGCTGCGTGTTGGAACAGCCCCAGCTTCTCTCCCTGTTCTAAGGGCCCTTTTATTTCCACCCAGTGGTTCAGTGGTCGACTATGGCATGCAAGGGGTGGACAGACCCGTTGGCTGCCTCTCAAAACAGGACAGCAAGGGATCTGCAATCTTAGGCAGGAAATCCCCCTCACTCATGGGGGTCACCACAGGCCTCTGTGGGTATGGCACACAGCAAGGGATCTGCAATCTTAGACAGGAAATCCCTCTCACTCATGGGGGTCACCACAGGCCTCTGTGGGTACGGCACACACACACACACACACACACACACACACACACAGAGGCACACTCTGGCCTCGTGCATCATGGATTCCTGGCAAGATCTAGGCTCTCCCTCCATGCCCACCCCACCCCCGCTGCAACGCTGGCTGAGGTTTTGCTGGGCCTTTCGTTTCCCGGCATCCTGCGTTTCGTTCCAGCGCGGCTACTTCTTGCGGAGTGGGCAGCAAACATCCTAGACGATACGCACGGGGTCGTCACTTGACTTGCACCCCTTTCTGCAGACAAGAGGGCCACCCCACCACAGCCCCATCCATTTGGGTCTCACACAGCTAAGCAAACCAGATACCCCAGTTGCAGACTGGGAGGGCCGTCATCACCGGGGCGAGCCTCCCTCCTTCACCTCCTGGGCACTGGGAGGGCAGGATTTTATCCTAGAGGCCAGAAGAGACACATTCCCAGATGTCAAGGATGTGCAGGTGGGAGCTGGATGGATGAACCGTGTCTGTTGCCTGCTTTACATCCTGCTCCGTTCCAAACCCTCCTGCCCGACCCAGAAAGCGTTGTGTTCTATTTCACACCTGCGGCACCAGAAGGGCATTACATGAGTCCTTTGGCAAAAGAAAGGGGGCAATCCTGAGGTCCATAAAGATGCTTGGACGGGCCTCATCATGAAGAGGAAAGACAATAAAACCCATGACTGCTGCTCTTTTCTTCTTGCAGGGTGGAAGCTGCCGGGATCTTTGCGGAGAGTCTGCTTGTAAAGGCAGGGGTGCCTTGCTTCTGTGCCTCTCTATTCCGCCCATCCACACCTCATTTTGACAACATTAATTATCAAACTAGAAGTCTCAGGGCCCTAATGAGGAACAGATGAGCACCGCCAGCTTGGCACGGGAAGGAGACCCATGGAGAAGAGCTGAAGTCTCCCCCCGCCCTATAGGTGCCTGCCTTTACATGCCCCTCCTCTCTAGCAGAGGAATGCATATCCCGTTTTTAAAAAACGAGGAAGGAAGCTGAAGTCTCCCCCGGCCCTATAGGTGCCTGCCTTTACATGCCCCTCCTCTCCAGCAGAGGAACGCATACCCCGTTTTTAAAAATGAGGAAGGACAGAACATGGCCAAAGAGCTTGAAAAACCCAGAACAACCATTAGATCCCAGCCATGAAAGCCTTCGCAAATATATCTCCCCCAGCCGCTTGCTCCCACCCAGTCCATTCATCCATTCCGACTGATCGACTCCCCGGCTGGGTCTATTTAAATCTGGCAGAGAGCAAAGTGTTGGCTTGCAGGGAGACGTTCTGCTCAGAGGGAAGGGAAAGACCTGTTACACCTGCCTCTTTGGGGGGGAAGAGAAACGGACATGGCCCTGCCATTCACACCTGCTCAGAGCCCTGCAAAGATCCAACACGCCACACCATCTGCCAATGCATGCACTGTTGGGGAAACGCTGTGTGCGCCCACCCGTGCTTACCCCCAGCTCTCCTTCCTCGTTTTTAAAAACGGGGTGTGCGTTCCTCGGCTGGAGAGGGAGGGGCATGTAAAGGCAGGCACCTATAGGGACGCACTCCCTTTGAAAATAAAAGGTAAAAACCTGGATGGGGAAAGAGGTTCATTTCGGAAATGCGCCTAGCTTGACTGGGTCTGCTAGGCACCTCGGTGGGAGGGCCTGGTCCTTCCCTGCAGGTGTTTCCCTGCAGGTGACAGGGAGGCTGGTTGCGCAGTTAGACCCGTGACCCAGCCATGGATCAGACCCATCTGTGGCATTTAATCTTCAGTGACCTTCCCTGCATGTAAAGGGAGAGATGGAAGTGCATGAAGGAACCAGGCCAGAAGGAAAGGATCCTGCGTCTGTGGCCACCCCCCCCCAAATCAATGAGAGGGAGCCCAGGCTGTGGGGCTGGATCTCCAGACACCGTGGGATGCCTTCAGAGGGGGCGGCTTAGAAACCCAGAGGTCCTAGAAAGGCGCCTTTCGCAAGGCTGGCGGGCGAGGTTCCAACACAGCCGCGTTTACGGTGCTGCAGCCAAGGCCCCCCACGGCGTTCGGGGAAACTAAGGACTCTTGTGGTTGGAAACTCGCCCTCTGAAGAAGAAAGGGTTGGCACTGCCAGATGGAATACTTGCGGACGGCCAAATCGGCAGGCTTAGAAATGCAAGCCATCCCGGCTGTGGAGAGAGAAGGGAGGGGAAAGGAGAGCAGAAGCTTCTTTTCTAGGAAGACTCCACGTCCTTTCCAAGTCAAACTCGCCCACTGGGACAATCCTATTCAACTAAACAGCCAGGAACCAGGACGGCACAATGGCTAAAAGGATTCAACCACAGACTCAAGCAAGCCCTGTGCAGATGCCAGCCTCGGCTATGGGCAAGGGACCACAGACAAACTCTCTCCCAGTCTCCGCCTGTGTCTGTAACAAAAAGACATTCATATGGAACCGCCCAGCAAGCTGTAATGGACAGAAGGGATACAGACAAGGGAATCCAGGGTTCAAATCCCCACTCAGCCATGGCACCTCACTAGGGGTGAAATCCCCACTCAGCCATGGCACCTCACTGGGGGTGTGGAACTGGTTAAAAACCAATCCTTAAATATCTCATTAACCTTGAAAACCCGGTTAGGGCCCCTATAAGTGGGTTCTGACTTGACAGCACGGGAACCAAATCATTTGACCTGTCTCACAAGGTTGTTCTTAAGACCATCCATCATTATACAAAGCATCTGGAACTTCTAACACACCATCTAAATGTCAGACCATAATATTCCTGCTTACTGAATGCCCCGGGAAGCCCCTTTGTATTGTTACAAACATTGTTTAAAGAAATAAATGGCCACTGATGTCTCCATAGCCCTTTTTCAACATCTCACACACTCAGAGCTTTTCAGGGGCACCAATTCCCATCAGCCACAACCATCATGGATAATGGGAGTGGTACTCCACCGTTTCAAGGTAGGGTGTGGGGTGTGGAATGGGGCAGACCTTTTAACACACAAAGACACATCCGTGTTTTACCCAAACACAACTCTGGAGAGCTTCAGAAAACGGCCATGAGGGCTCCTAATACCTAGATTGCTCTCCCCCTTGCGTCCGCACCAGCGGAAGAGCTGAAGCCAGAACAAACCACGGTTCCTTTTACCAGGGTTCAAAAACTCCTTCAGCAAAATGACAATGACGACAAAGGCGAAGAAGGGCTTTGTATTATTATTAGGGAGCCTGGCACTTCTCTCTCCCCCCCCCTTTGCTCCCTCCGGCTGCCGAGCACACAGAATCCCTCCGAGGCCAGCGGCTGGGTCAGATTCCGGCCCCTGGAGGGTCTGAGGTGGCCGGTACGAGCCCTGGAGTCCCCAGCCGGGGAGGGCTTTGTGTCATCTGAGAAAGCCACGGCCTCTCGGTTTGCACCAATGACCTTGACTTGACGCCTTTGGA